TTTTAACATTTCCCTGAGCAAAGACTGTAGAGTCTAAAGTGTTCGGCTCAGGAACGTGAAATCTACTTGTGATAAAGGACAGAATTTGAGAGTCTCGGTTGCTCTCAGCTGAGCAAATCTCAAACAGGGCCCTGTCAGGAAATGCCCCTCATTTTCATGACTCTGTTGCAGAGGCCGAGCGGCTGCTGGCTCTGGTGGACGTTTTCCATGTTGCCTGGGTGGCCAACCCCGCTGATTTGGGGACAGTTAGCATTCTGTTACTGCCACAGCAGTCTTTTTTTTTTTTTTTTTTTTTTTTTTCTCCCCTTTTTTTTTTTCTTTTTTTCTCCTTTTATTTTAAAAGCCCCCCCTCAGTCTCCTTGTGCCCTTCAGCTCAATCCACCTGCAGAGAGGGGGGGGATCCCCCCCAGCACTTTAAATAAAAAGATGACTTCAGATTAATGTACTTGAGATAACAATCATGCAGATCCAAGTATCGCCCGTACCCTTCCTCATCTGTGAACTCCACCAGAAAATAAGGAGAAAAAAAAAAAAAACAACAAAAAAACCAAACAAACCCAAACCAAAAGAGACCCCAAAATCACAACAGTAGCTTTTTTTTTTTCTTTTTCTTTTTTTTTTTGTGTCACTTTTAGTGTATGGTACAAGTTTACAGAGCGTTAGAGGTGGGTTATTCACAGGGAACGAGGAGCCCAAAGTTAATTACTGAAATAATTACTGACACGAACACCCTACCCCAAGCACAGGCGCGAAAACGAACAGAACGAGTAGAAAGTTCCTTTTTTTCCAGCTGGTTTTTGTTATTTTTTTTTTTCTTCCTCCTTCCCCGAAGGTGCTGGGGGGAGGGAAGAGCCCCCCCCACCCTGTGCCAGGGCTGAGCTCTTGCACACGCGTGTGTGCAGGGCTGTGGTTCACGGGGGCTGAGGAAGAGGAGCAGCCGGGGAAGCCCAGCCCGAGCAGAGCCCCCCCTGGCCCCTGGTGGGATGGGGGGGTGGCAGCAGGTGACACTGGTGACCCCAAAAAACAGTCCCCCCCCAGGACTCACCGTCAGCAGCTCAGTCTGTAACGGGGTTCAGCGGCTTCTCCTCACCCGGCACCGATCCTGCTCGGGGAGACCCTCCTCCTCCTCCACGGAGCTTCGTGGTGCCACCACGGGGTGATGGTGCCACCACGGGGATGATAGTGCTCCCACGGGGTGATGGTGCCACCACGGGGGTTGATGGTGCCACCATGGGGGGTTATGGTGTCCCCATGGGGGTGATGGTGCCACCACGGGGGTGATGGTGTCTCCACGGGGGTGATGGTGCCACCACGGGGGTGACGGTGCCACCAGCTCCTGCTGATCTCACCCAGAGGTCTTTTCTTAGCTCTTCTTCTTCTGCTGCCAAACAAACCTCGTGACGGTGCCACCAGCTCCTGTTGATCTTGCCCAGAGGCCTTTTCTTGGCTCTTCTTCTTCTGCTGCCAAACAAACCTCTCCTCCTCCTCCTCCTCTCCCCGAGGAAGGCTGCCAGCCCGGGGCCCTGTGTCCTGGGCACGACACGAGGAGCAGCTGAAGGGTTAGTGCAAGTGGTGGCCGAGGGGACACGGGGGCCATGGAGAGGGTTGGGGGGGGCATCTCTGCGCCGATGGCACCGGCCGCGAGTCGAGTCGGTGTCTCCCGGCGAAACACAAACAAGCGACATTCAAAAGGGAAAGAAAAAAACCCAAAAAAACCAAAAAAAAGGTGGATTTTGCTGAGACGTCGTTGTCAGCACAGACGTCTCTGTCCCCTGGTCCCCGGCTCTGGGGGTCCCTCCGGATGGAGCTGGTGACCCAGGAGGTGGCCCTGGGGTTGCCAACACCGGCCGTGGGGTTGTCCCCATGGGACCAAGGCCACTGTCCCTCCCCACAGAGTGGCCGTGGGGGGGGTGTCACGTCCCCGTGCGAGGAGTCACGTCCCCGTGCGAGGACAGAGCAGCCAACAGCAACCCAACCGTTTGGTGGCCCCGAGAGCGGGGCAGCGAGTCCAGACTCTGCCCTTCAGCCCCCGGGCAACAAGGCAGCAGGAATCCTGCCTCCCCCCGGGGGCCACCAGCCGAGCCCCTCCATGGGACCGGGCACGGGGAGTCCGGTGGGATGGTGCCACCAGGGCTCCGCTCTCTCTTCTTGGCTCCTTCATCCCAGCCCACGTGGAAACGCTGCCCAGGAGGAGGAGGAGGATGAGGAGGGAGGAAGGGGGAGCCCAGGCCTCCCATCGCAAAGAGCTCTGTGCTGATGTCTGTACAGGTCTCGTGTCCCCCTCCCCGGTGCTGCCGGGGGCTCTAGTTTTCGGGGCTGGCGTTCTGCCGGGCGCGGATGAAGGCCATGCCGTGGGTGCGGAAGTGCGTCTTGAGGTTGAGCTGGGTGTCGAAGCAGCGGCCGCAGACCTTGCAGGAGAGTTTTCCGTCGGTCGCCGGTTGGGCCCCTCCTTCCAGGGGGCTACGGGGCCCCGGCTCCTCCAGCTCCGTCGCCCCCTTCTTCTTCTTGTGGGTGATGAAGCGATGGCGGTTGAGGGAGACCTGGGAGGTGAAGCAGAGCCCGCACTCCCGGCACTGGTGGGAGCTCTCGTCAGTCCGGTGCTGGGGAATGTGCTCCTGGAAGTCGGCGGAGCTGCTGGCGAGGTACCCGCATTTTCGGCAGCGGAAAGGAGCCTTGCGGTCGCCCTTGGGGTTTTT